CTGATCTCAGTTTTCGAAGAAAGTATTTTTTAGTAAATTTTCTTTGGTTTTTGGATTAATTTCCAAATTTAGTCCCAAATATCTTTGATAGAAATCAGCTGCTATTTCATTTTCTTTTTGAACGCAACGGCTACGTTCAATTTTCAAAGCTTCTATCCTTTCCGGACTAGGAAAACGAAACAAGAACAATTTTTTAAACTCATGCCACGTATCCGGCAAATGATGACCTTGAGAAAGCTGTAAATACCAGTCACCAGCTGCATCTGTGAGTCAATTACTAATATTTCGCAGCAGTTGCGAATCACCAACCCGAAATAACGTTCGCATTTTCTGTTGGTACTCATGCAAGAACTTATTAGGCTGCTCATTGGCTTTACCACTAAAACGGGTAATTGAATCATTAATTGGTAACTTGCAAAGTTGCCGGTGAAGCGAGAACAGTTGATCGTGAAGAAGAAGAATTAGAAAATTTTCTTTTTGATTTTCTTTTTCTTCGGGATTCTAAAATATGGGATTAATATAAAAGAAAACATATTAATTTCAGCACACATAATGCTAATGCGTTTATACAGTAATAGGGACAAATTATCTTTTTCCCATCGTAATACGAATCATCCTCATCACCGCTACTTGAAAAAGCAGAAGTGTTTTGTTTTCGATGATGTTTCCTATTTTTCAAAGTTTTACTTTTTTTGTGAACTTCCAAAAATTCACTTTTATCTGAATGCATAGCGTCACTTCCTGTTAAGGAACTATTTGAAGATGATAAGGATGGTGATCCTTTGACAGAGATTTTAGCAGATGTATTACGAGGTAAAATCTCAGTTTGCGTGCTAGAATCCCTTTTGGCAATGGAAATTGAGTACAATTGATTTTTAGCTGTGTGACAAGAAGAACAGTCATGTAATGGTACTAATTTCTATTCTTTGCTTTCGCTTGGTAGTGGTAGCAAGCAAACATGCCGCGAGAGATCAGAGTCATAAACAGGCAACAGCTGTGCGGCCAAAGATGTGGTTGAAACTTGAGCTTTAGGAGCTCCAGAGATTACGGGAATAATATCTCTAGAAGCTGCTGTCAACGTATTAGCCGACAATATCTGTGTTCGAGATAAGTTTTGTTGCTTATCCATAACTCAAATTATAGTCTCTGTTTGCATTTCCAAAGCTTCTTTTGCCTGCTCTTTCTGTAGTTTCATAGATTCCAATATATGCATATTCTGCATTTTCATAGTTTCGAGCAACAATGCGTTAACATCAACTCCACCTCCAGCGACAGAAAGATTAGGTGTAGCACGCGATGTATTAGATAAGATAGATCTGCCGCGAGACAAGACAGAGACCACTGATGGAATCACAGAAGTTTTAGGTTTTGCTTTTACAAAAACCTTCGATGGTTCTTGTTTTAAAGATGAAGCATTCCTGTCGGTGGAACTGCTCAAACGCGGAGCTGCTGCTGCCTTCTTATCTTTATCTAACGGGTGATCCAAGATAAATTGCACTAAATTCTGATGCATTTTTCTCTCATTTTTCATTTATGAAAAAAATGCCCTGAATATCAAAAGATAGAGAATTTCAAGCTCTACAAAACTGATGACTTCGTTTTTGAAACAAATTTTTCTTATCGCCACCAAATTAAAATGATTCACGTCTAATCAATCATTCAACTGCGATTTCCTATTTTCTGCTGGCATTTATTGATTTGTGTAAGCTTTTGCTCATCAAGATCGATGCTAAAAGTAAATTATTTAACACCAATAGATAGAGAATTTTGTGCTCTATGCTTCCACGATCTTTTCAATGTTCCTGTTGCTGGTGTTCAGAAGAAAAAGACTTGGAACTGACACCTGTCAGTATTTTTGAGTTCACTTTGGAAAACCGTGTTTTCAAAAACCAGACTTGCTCTACGAGAGATTTATTATTATGCCATCGGATGTAGAATTTAATTCTGAACAAAACGGTGTAAGTGTTAGATTGAACAGTGAAAACATTTAGCTTGTTTCGAATTAATAAATAACAATGGCATAGATCTATCAGAAAAGGACTTTTTTCGGCACTTTACTTGAAAACTGTTTCTTCAAAAATATTTCTTCTAAAATTCTGAAACATGCATCCAAAGATGCAAAATTTTACGGAGAATTTCGTGAGATAGTTGACATTTCAACGGGACCTTCATTTTAAAAACATTTCCAGATTTTTCGTTTTTTTCACCGTTGCAGTTGGACAATTAAGTAGATGTTCATCTTTTAAATTTTACGCCAACAAGGAAGACTTGTTTGAAAAACAAACTCAACAGTTTTGTAGAACTTGAAATTCTCTATCTTTTGATATTCAGGGCATTTTTTTCATAAATGAAAAATGAGAGAAAAATGCATCAGAATTTAGTGCAATTTATCTTGGATCACCCGTTATTGGAATATCTCGCGACATCTCAAATTCAGAAAGCAAAATGTCCTCTAAAGGTTTCTTACCACACCACAGCCTCCTTAACAGCTTGGAAAAATCTTACCAGAAATAATAAAAACGTATTCTGTAGGACGTTACCAAATCACAAATAAAAATTGAGATAAGGTGATATAACAAATAGATAAACTGATGGTAGTGTCGATTAATAATAAGGGCGATGTTGCTGGTGGTTCTGGTTGCACAGATTAATGTTATACCAGAATCTGGGAAGAACCTCCAATTTGTAACGCTCATTAGGCCTTTCTAACAGCTTCACGAAACAACACCCAATTCTATTCTACCAGCAGCAACAATTATTACTAGTTTAATAATAGAAGTTGTATACAAAAAATTGTTTGAACAATCTGAAGTTTAATGTTCTAGTTCAGTTAATTGAATAGGTGATGTTCGTTGTTATTGTTTCGAGAAGAATGTGGTGGAATCTAATGTATTGAGATGCTGATGTAAGGAAGAAGAAAAGAAAAGAAGTGTTGCAAACGTAAATACTAAATTATAAAGTATTAAATAAAAATTAGGTATAAAATTTAATTTATATAAATTCTTTAAAAAGAATATTAAAGCTCCTCCTTCCCTTATGTGAGAGAAGAAGAAAAGAAGAGATGTGAATTTGAATTTGGAAGTTGAGAAGAATGAGAGAGAGATGTTAACTTAAAGTTAAAAGTTAACAAGAAAAGATCTCAATTTAAGGTTGAAAATTGACAAGAATCATAAAAGAATCGAAATTTACTTTCAATTATGACTTGTTTTTCGTTTATGTTTAATTTTTCAAAATTAGCTGTTTGGATATTGATTCTGATTGGTGATAGCTGAATTATAATTTCGTTAAAATATTTCCAGTTACAATCATCAAAAGACGTAGTGTAAATGTATTTGAAAATATCAGTAGACATGTCAAATAATTAAATACTAAAAATGATACAGTATAAGTAAATAAAACAAGCAATGAGTAACGAAAATAAGGTTTTTGGTTTGTAAATTTTGTGAAGAATATCTTTAAATGTTTTTGATTATGTTTATGATTGAGATGTGTACAAATAGTAGTTTGGCATTGAACCATGTTTTATCAACGATTTTGTATAATACCAACCATTATCAAATTCTTTTGAAATGGTATTATACATTGTGTTTGTGTTTATTGTTGATTTTTCATAATTGATGAGACCATAGCTCATTACCTTCACATAAATAGAGAAACTGTTTAACTGTCAATGTATAAAATCGTGCCATAATGTAAGGTAATGCAACATAGTGTGCAAGACATTTGGCTAATACATAATGAATATGTGCAATGTCCAATTGAACGCGATCATGAATCATGGATACAGTTGATGATAAATGATCATTTAAAGATTGAATACAATGTGCTTCACAGTAAATAGACAATGCTAAATTGAATGTAATAAAGAGAGATGTTAAAAATGATGATGTTAAACAATGAACATTTAAGCTAGTTAACGAGCACCACACAGAATGATGAGACCAAGGCGACGAATTACATCAAATAAAATACCTTAAATAAATAAGTTATTCTAATATATTTTATAATGATATTTTTAACGTTGTCTTCTTGCCTAATCGTATGTCTGCCTGTGGTTTTAGCAGTACTTCAATTAATAGATTAATAATTTGATTTGATATAACACCAGATAACATGCCAGTATGAAATCGATCAGTTTTTTAAATGGATTTAAAATAGTGGAAAATTTTAAACGTTGAAAAAACCAACGATATTGATGATGAATGGATACAGATGAGGCTTGTTGAATTGTTTGACAGAGTAGAAATAAAATGAATATTAATAATGCTGAAAGTGGTAATATGAATCCGTTTTGATTTACATAGTTTGATCCAATTACTCGGCAGATATAAGATTTTTTCATGTTGATAGGTGTTAAACAGATACATTGTTCTTGTTGATCAGAATTTATCAGAGCATCAAATAATAATTTGATATTGTCTACACTAATTGCATATCCTTGTTGAATATTTTTTTTTAAATTATTCAATGAATTTGTATCAAATGTTGATATTTGTAAATTGTCAAGTTTAGATAATTCATCAGCTAAACAAGAATCAATATTTTATCGATTTCATATTGAAATTTTAATATTATATTGTTTGTTTTTATTTATTGAATTTTGAATAATTTTCAGAATATTATCTCGAAGTTTACTATTCGATGTAGTAAATCCAATATTTAATGAATATTGCAATTGATTGCAAATCAGCTATGACAAATGAGTGATATTATTTAAAAATAAAAGAAAAATTAAATCCAATATTTTTCTTTATGACAACTGTTCACCGAGTGATGTTACACTATTCTTACTTAAGGGTAGACCCCCCCCTTCTTTTTTAGCAAAAAATGAATTTTCTTTTTATGTGCTCTAAAGATAGACTGGGTATTGACCTTTCGATCTGCGCTTGAATGAGTTCAATTCGATCTGCCGTTAATTTTTAATTTGATTTTTACGAAAAGCTGTTGTTCCAAAAATTATCAAAAGTTCACTGACTGATAGAAGATTTTCATCACAGACTGTCCATAGAATCGTAAAAAAAACGAACTTTCAACCTTTATCTGTAACGATACACTTCTCAAACTTATTTTGCATTTTTGCGATTTTCGAAAAAGCTCAAAACCATCTCTCAGATATAGTCGTAGATATATCAAAAACAATTTTCAACTCAATCGGACAAAATTGGATGGGACCGTACCGTGGTAAGGTGAGACCCTACGGAAAAACAACAGCAAAAATCCTTGTAAAACTTTTTTTCTCGAACTCGTCTCTCGTTGCTTTAGGTGCTCCTGGTAAAAGTTCCAGTTCGATCGGACGTACCGTCTTCGAGATCCAGAAATAGTCAAAAAGAGGGGAGTCTACATATCTGCAATCCTACCTTTACACGGCCATACACGAGCACGTACAATGGAATAGTATTCGCATCGATGTATGCCTTTGAACAGTCAAAAACGAGCACACTGAACTGTGGCCCTGGCTCAATTAATATAATGTTTAACATTGCGCCTTAGCTTTTAAGCCCGATGACGACTGCTGCACATTATTAGCTTAATAACAGTCTAAATAATATGCGTGGCTCCAGTCAAAATAGAAAGTTGGCACATACCTTTTCACTTACTATATCTACAGCTGTTTCATTTAGTGATTTTATAGATAATCCATCAATCAATTATCGTGTCATATTAAAATTTAAAATTAGCGGTTTATTTAATCCGACGAATTATAATGAATTAACAATTAGAAAATTTAAAGCCAATATTAACAAAATGATAAGTTTTGGTCGTGCCCAAAATGGAATCAGACAAATGAGTGATATTACTAAAAATTTAAAATTGAATCCAGCAATACTCAATAATTATTTATCTAACTAGGTTAATTTTTATTCATATAATTACAATAGTTTTAACTCGTGTAAATATAAAAAGATACTGGTCAATACGTACTAACAAATGCGGCAAATCAAATTCGAAACATTATTTACATTAGCTTTGATGTGCTACCAGTCCTCGGATATAGTTAGCGAAACAAAACGATCCAATTAGATTAATTCTTCAATTGATAATACCGGGAAGAAACCGAAAAGTCGAAAAATATCTGAACTTCTTACTGATGTGGCTTAACAAATAGAAAGCTTACGCGTCAAGATATATGACCATTTGGAATATGGTGAATGTTATACCTTCAAGGTCATTATCAATTAATCCAATATATATTCCATTATTGGCCCTTAATCAACATTGGCCCTTAATGAACAAAGCATATGATGACGCTTAACAGACTATAAATCATGCGAAAGGTCATTTTCCTGATAAAGCTAATGCTTTTACAGAAGCAGAACGAATGATAGCAAATGACAATTGGTCTCCTGATTATGCAACACGATATATGGTTCAAGTGGATGAACAATCATTACAGAATTATATCATGGAACATTCAGACGGATATTAAAAACGAAATATCAAGACTGTTACTATTATACGTTCACAGCGTGATTTAATTTTACATATCTTGTGTTTCTGTTCTCCCTGGTTCTATGTCTGTCTTTTTTGCTCCTAGAACATTCTTCATGTGGTCCCTATCGTTTTCTGTGTACAGTTGTTACACTCCATCATCATTATTATTAGTTAGTATTATTATTGTTATTTTTCATATATTTGTTATTGCTTTTGGTTTTGTTAATAATATAAATATTGCTTAAGAGTGAGGGTGAGGGTGGATGGAGCAACCATGATGTTAACATTTCACTTGCGCGTAAATCAATCGAAAAACAGACGGACCTGTATATTTTCGATACAAATGAACCCACTGATCTCAACTTTTGCTTGTCAGTAATCGATCTTTGTTGAGATGTAAGACTTTTAAATAAGGTGCTTGTAAATAAGGATTAAAGAAATGCAGAGTTAAATTCGTCGACGCGTTTCGTGTTATTTATTAGAATATGAACACTCATCAGGGCTCTGCATTGTAATAAGCACAATTAGTATAAGCAAAAAGAAAATGAAAAGAGAAAGAAAAAAGATTAAAAAAAGGGGGGGAAGAATATTGTCGTAGTATCATACAAAAAAATGGTTTAAGCTGATTGGATATGTTGATCAAGGTGGATGTCGCGTTGATTGAACAAAGCATATGATTTTTATTAACAAAAGAAAAGTTTTTCTTTTTCTTTACAACAAAAAAGAGTAAAGATATAATGCATATCTTTTCTTTCATAAGAAAAAGGACAGTGGCACCTTTTCTTTTCCAGAAGAAAGAAAAGCACTATCTTTTCTTTTTGCAAGAAAAAGACCTTTTTTTGCACCTTTTAAGTCTTTTTTCTGGTGACGCCACTAAGCAACGTCATGATTTATAACCGCGAGAAATCCAAGTAATTATGAAAAACCGAAGGTTGTGCGTTCGAATCCCGAGAAAAAAGTTTATCTTCGATTAGGGATGGTGGCTTAGCTAGGGGTGGCACTTTCCCGTTCCTTTCCTGAGTAACGATAAAGTGGTATCTTTTATTCCAAAAGTAAAGAGTAAAGATATAATGTATATCTTTTTCTTTCCTAAGAAAAAGGAAAGTGGCACCTTTTCTTTTCCAGAAGAAAGAAAAGCAATATCTTTTCCTTTTGCAAGAAAAAGACTTTCTTAAAAGGTGCAAAAAAAGGTCTTTTTCTTGCAAAAAGAAAAGATATTGCTTTTCTTTCTTCTGGAAAAGAAAAGGTGCCACTGTCCGTTTTCTTATGAAAGAAAAGATATGCATTATATCTTTACTCTTTTTTGTTGTAAAGAAAAAGAAAAACTTTTCTTTTGTTAATAAAAAAAGGAGGTATGAAAGAGAAAGTGCCACCCCTAGGCTTAGCATTAGTATTAAAAAGTGCTAATACTTTTGTGTTAAAATTAGTATTTAAATAATGCAATGCTAATGCTAAACCCCCGTCCTCATCTGGGATAGCGATGATTAAAACGGATTAATAAGATAATAATAGATTAATCAGATTTTTTCGGACGTTTTCTTGAGATGAATTCGTGAAGACTCTCCAGGGAGTTTTGTGTTTATTCGTACTCCTTAATGAGTTACGGTGGCTTTGTCGAACGTGTTCTCAATGTGGTAAATGTAATGAAGCGTCCTGTTATGGTGTTTTCTTACACGTGGTGATTCGCATGCCTCATATTGCTGACGAGAAGTGCCATTGCGACATATGGAGAGAACAAGCGTGCAGAGCAGTGATACAAGCGTTTATATCACCAGCAGTAGTAGCGCTGAAAGCAATACTGCAGATAGCAGAAGAAGCGCAGAGAGCAGAAAAAGTGCAGAGAGCTGCAGAACAAGCGTGGAGAGCAGCAGCAAAAGAAGCGCAGAGAGCAGAAAAAGCGCGCAGAGTAGAAGAAGCGCTCAGAGCACGAGGGGAGCGGAGAGCAGCATAAAAGAAGGCCGAGAAGGGGCGAGCCGAGAAGCCATCAGCAAAAATTTTAACGTGGCGGAAGGCGATAGACATAGCTTTACAGATAAATGAGCAGGGTTTAAAATTATATGATGAAGGGGAATTAAGAGAAGCGCGTAACCAAATAGAGTCAGCACTTGATAAATATGAGGAAGCCGGTGGAAAGTTTAACGAAGCGGCTACAAAGCAGCCTTTAGATATCATTTTCAATTCTTTTGTGGTGGTAATCGCTGCATTTATTGAAAACAAAGCATATGATGACGCTTAACAGACTATAAATCATGCGAAAGGTCATTTTCCTGATAAAGCTAATGCTTTTACAGAAGCAGAACGAATGATAGCAAATGACAATTGGTCTCCTGATTATGCAACACGATATATGGTTCAAGTGGATGAACAATCATTACAGAATTATATCATGGAACATTCAGACGGATATTAAAAACGAGCCACTACCGGACGTGCAAGCAGTTATTCCAATTACTTAGGGCTGACCAAAAGTTCGTAGAACGATCTTTAAATTTTTATAAAATACTTAACATCGAAAGATTTATTGCATGAATACTTAGTAAAATGTCTCGTCTATAATTCTTATAGTCTCTTAGATAGCGCTTATAATGCAATAAACATGTGAACATTCCTTGTTCAAGATTCGAATATATTTAGGATTTACCAAAGGTTTTCAAAACATCAAATAAAAATATATAAAGAAAAATCTGTGCTTAGCTTTATTTTATTAAATATTCAAAATAGTTACCATTATTATTTATACAAAATTCCATTTTTTCTAATAGTTTGTCAAAAGTTTTTTTAAACTCTTTTTCTGGAATATTGTTCCCTATCTCGCAAACCGCCCGAGCTAGTGATTTCTTCGTCCTCATATTCATCGGGATGTTATTGACTATTTAACGAAAGAAGGTATTGAAATAATACCACATCCACCATACTCACCTGATCTTGCACCCTGTGACTTTTGGGTCAATGATTACATCAAGATTAACTTGGCTGACCAAGAAAACGAAGAATCACTAGCTCGGGCGGTTTGCGAGATAGGGAACAATATTCCAGAAAAAGAGTTTAAAAAAACTTTTGACAAACTATTAGGAAAAATGGAATTTTGTATAAATAATAATGGTAACTATTTTGAACATTTATTTATTTGATGTTTTGAAAACCTTTGGTAAATCCTAAATATATTCGAATCTTGAACAAGGAATGTTCACATGTTTATTGCATTATAAGCGCTATCTAAAAGACTGTTAGAATTATAGACGAGACATTTTACTAAGTATTCATGCAATAAATCTTTCGATGTTTAGCATATCAAACTGTCAGGGAGGTGGACAAAAAATGGAAACTTTCCAAACTCAAAAATATTTTTCTACGTCAACTTTTTCTGCTGCTACTATTTCAGCTAAAAAGTGTAGCAAAACTGAGAACTCGGTGTTTAGTACTTTCAAATGTGCTCTTTCTCGTGATCTGTAAAAGCTCTTTTTATGGCGTGGTGGGGAACGAAGTTACAAAAATACGTCAAAAGTTGATAACCACCTCGTTTCAACAATGTGCTCAAGCAAGACACGGAAAAGCTATTGCCACTTACTAGCTGAAGTGTCAATAAGTAGCTATTGCCACTTACTAACTGAATCCGAGACAGCTTTCGGACTACAGC